CCGAGAGCGGGGCGGGGGGCCAGCACCTGGTGCTATCGGCAAGTGGTGCGCCGCCGCCGGCCCCGCCGACCCTGACCACACACGCATCCTGCCCGCCGGATGCCAGAGGCACCCGGGAATAGGCTGCGCCCGATGTGGAGACGACCATACGCATCGTTCATTTTTAATCGTGCTCATCTCTAACTGTCCTCGTTCCTAACTGTTCTGGCCCCCCAGTGGCCAGAACGAGGCCCAGGGTAGAACAATCAGAAATGAAAGGATCTAGGCCCCCAACAGAAATCAAAGAACTTTCGAATAATGAGAAATGAACAATGAGTACCCCGCACCTCCAGGGGCACATGCCGCATGAGGGGGGCCCTCTCAGAACGCAACCCCGACCACCCGCAGAGCAGGCCGGGGGCAATGCTGGGCCTCCCCTCACGCGAGAGGTGTGCAAATCAGATGTGGGGGGGCATGGTTCTTGCCACGTCGGCGCCCCCCCCCCCTCCAGCGTACCCAGGCCCGGGCAGCGAACGACCCACAACATCGATGGCGAGGGGGGCGGAGCCACGAGGGAGGGCAGCGGGGGCAGAACGGGGGAGGCGAGGGGCAGCATCGCCGACTCAGGGACTGCAGCATGAGAGAAGCCCTCTGTTCAGAGCAGTCTGCATCCTGGCGCTTCCTGGCCGTGCGCTGTGCCGCACGTGGCCGCACCGGCGACGGCCAGCGAGCTCAGAGCGGGCCCGACCCCACTCGAGCCGCGCCTTCCACTCCCGCAGCCCTTCCCCCGAGCAGCCCGCCGGTGCGCTGCCACGAACGGCGGCGGCGGCGCTTCTCGCCCAAAGGCTGCGCCGCCAAGACGATCTTCACCCTGGCCAGTCCTGGGAAGTCTTGGCCAGGACGGCATGCCCCGACGAGCTTCCGCGCCGCCCTCTCTCGGCGCCGCCTCTGCAGTCAGTGGCCTGCTGGGCAGGCGGGAGCGGTGGTCACTGCTGGGCCTTGTTCAGTTTTTTGTTCTTTGTGCTCTGTGAGCTTTCCTCCAAGAGATACACCAAGTGGTGCCCGATCGCATGCGGCAGGCACGCCCGGAATCATCCGAGGGGGCCAAGCTGCAACAGGCGAGCCCACACGCGAGACTTCGGCCACGGTGCAGACACGCTGAAACGGGCGTAGCCACGGCACCGTGGCAAGGCTGTGCTGCGCATGCGGCCGAGCCACATAACTCAGATCCCGTGCCTACAGGGCAGTTTGTTATACATTTCTTGTTTGTAAAAATGTACGCTTTCTAATCCATGATCCATGTATGCATGAAATTATGCATGAACCCATCGTTGTTTTTCATACGAAATCCCTGCATTGTTAATACATGATCCGCACGCGGAGCATGTATCAAAAACGGCACTGTAAGCGATGGGGCGCCGCGGCGGTGCCCAGGCCCGTGCGGCGGCCCTTCGCGGCGGAGGCGCGGGCCGCGCGCCTCGGCGCGCCTCCAGCTCTCTCTCTCTCTCTCTCTCGCGGCCCCTCCTGCACCCCCTGTTCCTCCTCGCGCTGCCGCCGCCGCTCCTCCTCCTCCTCCTCCTCCTCCTCCTCCTGCTCCTCCTCCTCCTCCTCCTCCTCCTCCTCCTCCTCTTCTGCTTTCCCCACAATATCTTCTCTTCGCGTCCAAGACGACATCACCATCACCGTCATAATCACCATCACCGTCACCGTCACCGTCATTATCATCACTACCACCATCGTCATCATCAACATCATCATCACCAACAACAACATCAACATCATCACAATCATAAGCATCATCATCATCAACATCATCGTCATACTATCCATCATCATCACCATCACCATCAGCATCACCATCCATCGTCACCATCGACATAATCATCAGCATCGTGCTCGTCATCATCATCATCATCATCACCATCATCATTTTCTTCATCATTACCATCACCATCACGATCAGCAGCATCACCATCACCATAATCATTGTCATCAACATCGTGATCGTCATCATCACCATCATCACCATTATCATCATCGCCCACCATTGCCATCACCATAATCATCATCGTGCTCGTCATCATCATCATCATCATCACCAACATCATGCGCCGTCTGGCTTCCGTTTGGCCGTCCGTTCGTCTGTGTGTCTGTCTTCCCGGCTCTCTGAGCCGCGGCGCTTACGAGCTTCTTAGCCCAGAGGCGCGTCGGCCACCGCCGCCCTCTCCCTTGTCGGTGGCCCTGACGAGGTTGGGGGAGAGGGTGCCGAAACGCGCCCAGTGTCCAGCAAGGCACGAGGGTGCAAACCCGACTTGTCTGGCTGATGCTCTGGGCGGGCCTGTGCTCAGGGGAGGCTGCAGTACCGCTCAACGATGTGCTGTTTAACCGAACCTGCAGGGTGGGCCCTTTCGCGAATCCGTGCTCCGATGCGGATCGTCTGCACGCCTCGTCTCCGTCGTCATCGTCGTTGTCTTCGGCATCGTCGTGGTCGTGGTGCGTGTTGCTCTGCTCGGGGACTTGTTTCCCTAATGCAGTCACCACCCACCACCCACCAGCATCAGCATCAGCATCAGCATCATCATCGTCATCATCATCATCCTCATCCTCATCATCATCATCATCACCATCGTCCTAATCATCATCATCAATATCATCACCAATAACAGCCTCATCATCATCGCCATCATCATCATCATCGTCATCATCACCATCATCAACAGCAGCATCACCATCATCGTCATAATTATCACCATCATCATCGTCATCATCACCATCACCACCACCATCATCATCACGACCACCGCCCCCCCCACCACAATCACAATCACCATCACCATCACCGTCACCATCACCATCACCATCACCATCACAATCATCATCATCATCATCATCATCATCATCATCATCATCATCATTATCATGATGATTCTCCTCCTCCTCCTGCTCCTTCCTCTCTTTCCCCTTGTCCCCACCTTTCCCCGTCTGTCCCCTCGCGGCTGCCCACCTGGAGTGCCGCTGTCGATCCCTGATTATGGGCGGATCCAGCGTCTCCACGCTGCGTTAGCTTGGCCGGTGCGCACGCTTCTCCGAAGTGTGTGTGTGTGTGTGTGTGTCCGTTGCTCAGACCGCTCGGGCGTGCGCGCGGACTGCCTCTGCCGCGCTGCGACGTCAACGTGTACACACATATCCGTTGGTATTTATGTATGAATGTATGTATGCATGTACGTATGCACGTATGTACGTATGTACGTCTGTGTGTATGTATGTAGCATGTATGTATGTATGTATGTACGTACATACGTATGTACGTACGTATGTATGTATGTATGTATGTATGTATGTGTGTGTATGTATGTATGTATGTATGTATGTATGTATGTATGTATGTATGTATGTATGTATGTATGTGCGTACGTACGTACGTACGTACGTATGTATGTATGTATGTACGTATACATGTATGTCTACATGTACGTCTAAGTTTGTACGTCGGTATGAACGAACGAATGAAAGTATTCAGCGCGTGTGTGTATATATATATGCATATATATATATATATAGATGCGCATGTATGTGTGCGTGTGTTCGAAGGGGCGCCAGACCCGCCCCCTCGAGCTCCTCTCCCGCCGGCGTCGACGTCGCGCGGCGAGGCGCCGCCAGTGACTCGGCGTCGCCGCGTCGCCGACGCGACGCGCTGCCTCGATCGCGGTTTAGCCGCAACCTGGCGCCCCCCTTTCCCCTTTCTGGAGGGGGAACGTCAGGGGGGAGACCAGCTCGGTCAGGGAAACATCGACCTGGGATCGGCGATACATCGCAGATAGATCGGCGATCTGCCATGCCCCCTACCATAGCGAGTCCGCGCGTTACTGAGCGGTGTGGGCTGTCGGGCCCCTGTGGGTGATGAGTGGGCGATTGATAGTCGATGCAGCCCACCCTAACGTTAACGTTGTGCCTGACCCTCCCGCTCTGGCCAGCGTCGACGTCGCGCAACGAGGCGCCAGCAGTCGTGGAGGCGAGGCTCCAGGCTCGGGCTCCGCGACACCTCGCGCGCAACCGCACCACCCGTGCCACAGCGGGCTCCCCCCCTTTTGAGCAGGAGAAGGAGAAGGAGGAGGAGGAGGAGGAGGAGGAGGAGGAGGCGGAGGAGGAGAGGGGGGACTGCGGGTTGGGTAAGATGCCGAAATGAAGCATCTCCCCCCTGGGCGGAGGCGATGAAGGTGTTGGTGGGGCTGGGGCCCGGGCAGCGCGAGCGTGCGCAGAGCACCCCACCCCAGACAATCCTGATGTGGGGGTGGGGGTGCGTGCGCTCGCCAACTCGACCGCTTGGGCAGCGACCCGCTCTCTCCCCTCCCCTTTCCTGCCGCCCCCCCCACCGATGCTGATGGCCTTCTTCACACTTTTCGACGAATTCGGTTTCAATTTCGATGTATCCCTTTTTTTGTTATTTATTCTTTTTTCCCTCAGCGCGACGCAAACCCCGCTCAGATGATGAATCCTCTGGCCAGCCTGCGTCAGATCACAAAGGGCAGTGCTCCCGAGCGACGTTGCGCCAGCTCACGGCGCATCGATCCAGATCACAGGGTGTCAGCCCCACCCTGGCATCTTTCGCTGGTGATTTGCATTGATTTGCTTCTAGGAAAAGGGTACCCCCCAGCACAACGCAGCATGACGTAGCATTGCATGGCACAGCATAGCATAGCAGCTAATGCTGCTTTCCTAGGGGCTCCAACTTCTAGGTAGGGTCGCACTGGGGTAATTTGCTTCTGGGAAAAAGGGTACCCCCCCCCGCTCTCCCCACTTCGCCTGTTCAAGGCCTCCTGGATGGGGTCCGAGTAGATGGTGTCGGAGGAGCGCGCCGCATCGGCGATGCATCGGCATCACCCGCGTGGAGAACATCGGGTTCCACATCGAGCCGCATCGGCGATGCATCGGCAATGCGGAGCGATCCTCCTCCATATCTACTCCGACCCAATCTAGGAGGCCTAGACCCGTGCTTACCCCGCCCCGCCCTCCCCGCGCGCCTGGCGGTCCGGCGCCTGCGCGAGTTCGACCTGGACAGCGAGCCTGGACGGCCCCCGCCGGCCTTGCCTGTCCGGGCGGCCAAACCCACGTAGGCACCTCGCTCTTCCTCCTCCCCGCTATGTAGGCGGGGGAGGAGGAACGAGGAGGAGGAGGAGGAGGAGGAGGACGAGGAGGAGGAGGAGCAGGAGGAGGAGGAGGAGGAGGGAGGAAGAGGAGGAGGAGGAGGAGGAGGATGATGAGGAGGATGAGGATGAGGATGAGGATGAGGATGAGGATGAGGATGAGGATGAGGAGGAGGAGGAGGAGGAGGAGGAGGAGGAGGAGGAGGAGGCGGAGGGGGAGGGCGAAGGAGCACGAGGGAGACCAGGAGAAAATCGAACGTCACTGCCCCTGGGACTTTTGCTGCCCTGCGCCTAACGACTTGGCGCCAGTCTCCTCCGCCCGGCGCCTCTCGTCCTCGGGGCCGCGAGGGCGCTGCGAAAGAGAGGGTCCTGGACCTCCTTTTCCGCGTAGATATCGAGACGACCGTGTATACTCCCACCAGCCCTCTGGGTGTCGGTGTTTTAACGAACACTTGTCTTCTCTCTTCCCACAGCCCTCCTTCCCCTGCTCGGGGGAGGGGTTTACCCTTCCCCTGAGCACAAATCTCAATTCTCCTCCTGCCTCCTCCTCTCTCCTCTTCCTAACTCCTTCTTTGAATATGAATGAAGATGAGGAGAGGAGGAAGAGGAGGAGGAGGAGGAGGAGGAGGAGGAGGAGGAGGAGGAGGAGGAGGTGGAGATATGGTAGCAGGAGGAAGAGGAGGAAACCGACGATGTAGTATTACTGTTGGTTTTGTCAGCATTAGTCATCTCAGTCGTATCCGTGCTAGCCGTAGTAGTCGTAGTAGTACTGGCGATGGCGCAGGAGTCAAAGGAAACACAGGAGGAGGGCGAACAGGAGGAGGACGAGGAGGAGGAAGAGAAGGATGAGGAAGAAGAAGAGGATGAGGAACTGGAGGAGGAAGAGGAGGAGAAGGAGGAGGAGGAGAGCGGAGGAATATGCTAAGGATACAGTACTGATGTTCCTCGTCGTCGTCCTTCTCCTCCTCCTCCTCCTCCTCCTCCTCCTCTTCCTTCTCTTCCTCTTCCTCCTTCCTCCTTCCTCCACGGCCGCCGCTTCCACATCCTGTTTTTCTGTTCGTGCCCCCTCCTCTGGTGAGGAAAAGGGAGCGAGAGAGAGAGAGAGAGAACGAGAGAGTGGGAGAGAGATATATAGATAGAGAGAGAGAGAGAGAGAGAAAGAAAGAAAGAGAGAACGAGAGAGAGAGAGAGGGAGAGAGAACGAGTGAGGCAGAGAGAGAGAGAGAGCGACCCGAATGAACAACGATCTCTCCACTCTCTCATTTCATCGATGATCTGTGTCTTATTGTCGTACCGCGTTCACCTTTGTATGTCTTTCTCTCCTCCTCCTCCTGCTGCTCCTCATCTTCCCCTCCTCCTCCTCCTCCTGCTGCTCCTCATCTTCCCCTCCTCCTCCTCCTCCTCCTCCTCCATTCCTTTTCCTTATGAATGACTTCTCCCTGTCGCACCCCGACGCCAATTTTTCAGGGCGGGCCGGGCGTTTCGCCTGGGACTTCCTCACCATGTATGGCTCTGAAGCTTAAACGTTGGCAGCAATTTCACAGATGGAGGGCGGGCTGTTTTCAAAATGTGGCTCTCGCCTTAGCGCGGCGCACATTCGTTTAACACATTGCAAGAGTTTCGCGGATTGACGGCGGCTCGTTTTTGAAAGTGTGGCTCTCGCTTTAGCGCGGCGCACATTCGTTTTTGCTTACACATTGCAAGAGTTTCACTGGTTGAGGGCGGGTGTTTTTTAAAATGTGGCTCTCGCCCTAGCGCGGCGCACATTCGTTTTCGGATTCAGAGCGGGTCGTTTTCAACATGCGGCTCTCGCCTTAGCGCGGCGCACATTCGTTTCAAACAAATTGCAAGAGTTTCACGGGTTGAGGGCGGTTCCTTTTCAAACTGTGGCTCTCGCCTTATCGCGGCGCACATTCGTTTTAAACGTTTGCAAGAGCTTCCCAGATTCCATTATCACCGTGCCAGGCATGTTGAAAAGATGCAGGAGTGGCGTTCTGGCACCATTCAGGATTGTCAGGACGCAGCAGTCAGGTTGATCCGTGGCGTTGGGATCCCGAGAACAATGTTTTGGCATGCTTCAAGGTCTTCAAACGGTTGTCTTCCAAAGAGGCAGTTCCGTCAATGGAAGTGAACCGTTGTATGGGACCTATGAAAAAGAAGCTTGGAGGGACGGTTTCTCCCAACATCGTTGATGACTCTTGGATTTGCTCTGGTCCTCCTTCTCCTCCTCCTCCTCCTCCTCCTCCTCCTCCTCCTCCTCCCCCCTCTTCCGAGGGGAGAGAGAGAGAGACGACATGAGAGAGTGTGAGAGAGATGTTCAAGGGAGCAACGATACCGATGAAACCATCAGGTTTGCGAGACCAGATGGCGCCAAACCCTATGATATCATTTGGTTGTTGGGACTCACGGGATGAGAATTCCAGAAACCAAATGGTCAAACACGGGTTTTTGGGATGCATGGGCTCTATAGCCTCCAACGGGAATCCACACTGCAACCTTCCAAAGCTCTGAAAACCAAACGTCCACATACAATCACCAAGTTTGTGACACCAGAGGGCACCAACCCGTGTGATGCCACTCCGAGGTTCGATTTGATTCCCAGCCCTCCCCTTGGCTGGGTTCTCGTTGTGGGTAGAGCGCTGTCTGTCCCACCTCCTCCTCCTCCTCCTTCCTCCTCCCTGCTCCCTCCTCCCCGCCTCCCCTTCGTCCACTCCACGCTCTCCCTCCCTTTCCTATGTAATCGGCCTCTCCCTCGTCGAGATCTCGGGGGCCCCGCGGGGCCGCGAACCGCGCAGCTGGTCGCCATTTTCGTGGGCTCCCTGGGGGGTCCAGCGGGGTGGAACTATACGCGGATCTGCCGAGACCTCGCGACTCCCCGCGGGGCTCTGGACCACGCAGCTGGTCGCCATTTTCGTGGGCTCCCTGGGGGGTCCAGCAGAATTAAAGTCCAAGCGGATCTGCCGAGACCTCGCGACTCCCCGCGGGGCTGTGGACCGCGCAACTGGTCGCCATTTTCGTGGGCTCCCTGGGGGGTCCAGCAGCATTAAAGTCCAAGCGGATCTGCCGAGACCTCGCGACTCCCCGCGGGGCTGTGGACCGCGCAGCTGGTCGCCATTTTCGTGGGCTCCCTGGGGGGTCCAGCAGAATTAAAGTCCAAGCGGATCTGCCGAGACCTCGCGACTCCCGCGGGGCTGTGGACCGCGCAGCTGGTCGCCATTTTCGTGGGCTCCCTGGGGGGTCCAGCAGAATTAAAGTCCAAGCGGATCTGCCGAGACCTCGCGACTCCCCGCGGGGCTGTGGACCGCGCAGCTGGTCGCCATTTTCGTGGGCTCCCTGGGGGGTCCAGCAGAATTAAAATCCAAGCGGATCTGCCGAGACCTCGCGACTCCCCGCGGGGCTGTGGACCGCGCAGCTGGTCGCCATTTTCGTGGTCGCCATTTTTCGTGGCGCCCTGGGGGGTCCAGCAGGAATTAAAGTCCAAACGGATCTGCCGAGGCCTCGCGTCTCCCCGCGGGGCTGTGGACCGCGCAACTGGTCGCCATTTTCGTGGGCTCCCTGGGGGGTCCAGCAGAATTAAAGTCCAAGCGGATATGCCGAGACCTCGCGACTCCCCGCGGGGCTGTGGACCGCGCAGCTGGTCGCCATTTTCGTGGGCTCCCTGGGGGGTCCAGCAGAATTAAAGTCCAAGCGGATCTGCCTAGACCTCGCGACATCGCCGCGGGGCTGGGTGGACCCCTCGCAGGCTGGTCGTCCATTTATCGTGGTCTCCCTGGGGTCCGGGAACAGAATAATAAAGTCCAAGGCGGATCTTCCGAGACCTCGCGACTCCCCGCGGGGCTGTGGACCGCGCAGCTGGTCGCCATTTTCGTGGGCTCCCTGGGGGGTCCAGCAGAATTAAAGTCCAAACGGATCTGCCGAGGCCTCGCGTCTCCCCGCGGGGCTGTGGACCGCGCAACTGGTCGCCATTTTCGTGGGCTCCCTGGGGGGTCCAGCAGAATTAAAGTCCAAGCGGATATGCCGAGACCTCGCGACTCCCCGCGGGGCTGTGGACCGCGCAGCTGGTCGCCATTGTGTTCGGGGCTCCCTGGGGGGGTCCAGCACGAAATTAAAGGCCAAGTCAAGCGGATCTGCCAGAGACCCCACCGACTATGTCTCCCGCGGGGCTGTGTACCGCGCAGCAATGGTCGCCATTTTTCGTCAGCTCCATGGGGGGTCCCCAGCAGAACGTAAAGTCCAAGCGGATCTGCCGAGACCATCGCGACTATCAGGCCCCGCGGGCTGTGGACGCGCGCAGCTGTCGCCATTTTCGTGGGCTTCCCCTGGGGTGCCGATCTAGAATTAAAGTCCAAGCGGATCTGTCGAGACCTAGCGACTACGAGTCCCCGCGGGGCTGTGGACCGCGCAACTGGTCGCCGCTATCTTTCAGTGGGCTCTCTGGGGGGGGTTCCATCAGAATCAAAATCCAATGCGGATCTGTCGAGACTCTCGCGACTCCCCGCGTGCTGTGGACCGCGCCTGGTCGCCATTTTCGTGGGCTCCCTGTGGGGTCCAGCAGAATAAAGTCACGCGGATCTGCCGAGAACTCGCCGACTCCCCGCGGGGCTGTAGATCGGAAGAGCTGGGTCCGCCATGTTCGTGGGCTCCTCTGGGGGTGCCAGCAGAATTAAAAATCCAAGCGATCTGCCGAGACCTCGCGACTTCCCCGCGGGGCTGTGGCCGCGCAGCTGGTCGCCATTTTCGTGGGCTCCCTGGGGGGTCCAGCAGAATTAAAGTCCAAGCGGATCTGTCGAGACCTCGCGACTCCCCGCGGGGCTGTGGACCGCGCAACTGGTCGCCATTTTCGTGGGCTCCCTGGGGGGTCCAGCAGAATCAAAATCCAAGCGGATCTGCCGAGACCTCGCGACTCCCCGCGGGGCTGTGGACCGCGCAGCTGGTCGCCATTTTCGTGGGCTCCCTGGGGGGTCCAGCAGAATTAAAGTCCAAGCGGATCTGCCGAGACCTCGCCGACTCCCGGCGGGGCTGTGGACCGCAGTGGTCGCCATTTTCGTGGATCCCTGGGGGGTCCGCAGAATTAAAGTCCAAACGGATCTGCCGAGACCTGCGCGCGACTCCGGCGGGGCTGTCGCCCGGCAGCTCGGTCTGCCATTTTCGTGGGCTCCCTGGGGGGTCCAGCAGAATTAAAGTCCAAGCGGATCTGCCGAGACCTCGCGACTCCCCGCGGGGCTGTGGACCGCGCAACTGGTCGCCATTTTCGTGGGCTCCCTGGGGGGTCCAGCAGCATTAAAGTCCAAGCGGATCTGCCGAGACCTCGCGACTCCCCGCGGGGCTGTGGACCGCGCAGCTGGTCGCCATTTTCGTGGGCTCCCTGGGGGGTCCAGCAGAATTAAAGTCCAAGCGGATCTGCCGAGACCTCGCGACTCCCCGCGGGGCTGTGGACCGCGCAGCTGGTCGCCATTTTCGTGGGCTCCCTGGGGGGTCCAGCAACATTAAAGTCCAAGCGGATCTGCCGAGACCTCGCGACTCCCCGCGGGGCTGTGGACCGCGCAGCTGGTCGCCATTTTCGTGGGCTCCCTGGGGGGTCCGGCAGAAATTAAAGTCCCAAGCGGATCTGCCGAGACCTCGCGACTCCCCGCGGGGCTGTGGACCGCGCAGCTGGTCGCCATTTTCGTGGGCTCCCTGGGGGGTCCGGCAGAATTAAAGTCCAAGCGGATCTGCCGAGACCTCGCGACTCCCCGCGGGGCTGTGGACCGCGCAGCTGGTCGCCATTTTCGTGGGCTCCCTGGGGGGTCCAACAGAATTAAAGTCCAAGCGGATCTGCCGAGACCTCGCGACTCCCCGCGGGGCTGTGGACCGCGCAGCTGGTCGCCATTTTTCCGTGGGTCCCTGGGGGGTCCGCAGATTAAAGTCCACGCGCGGATCTGCGAGACTCGCGATCTCCCCGCGGGGCTGTGGACCGCGCAGCTGGTCGCCATTTTCGTGGGCTCCCTGGGGGGCCCAGCAGAATTAAAGTCCAAGCGGATCTGCCGAGACCTCGCGACTCCCCGCGGGGCTGTGGACCGCGCAGCTGGTCGCTATTTTCGTGGGCTCCCTGGGGGGTCCAGCAGAATTAAAGTCCAAGCGGATCTGCCGAGACCTCGCGACTCCCCGCGGGGCTGTGGACCGCGCAGCTGGTCGCCATTTTCGTGGGCTCCCTGGGGGGTCCAGCAGAATTAAAGTCCACGCGGATCTGCCGAGACCTCGCGACTCCCCGCGGGGCTGTGGACCGCGCAGCTGGTCGCCATTTTCGTGGGCTCCCTGGGTGGTCCAGCAGAATTAAAGTCCAAGCGGATCTGCCGAGACCTCGCGACTCCGCGGGGGGTGGACCGCGCAGGATGGCGCTCATTTCTGGGCTCCTGTGGGGGTTCCAGCAGAATTAAAGTCCAAGCGGATATGCGAGACCTCGCGACTCCCGCGGGGCGGTGGACCGCGCAGCTGGTCGCCATGTTCGGGGGGCCTGCTTCCCTGGGGGGTCCAGCAGAAATTAAGTCCAAGCGGATCTTCTGTTGAGACCTCGCGACCTCCCCGCGGGGCTGTGGACCGCGCAGCTGGTCGCCATTTTCGTGGGCTCCCTGGGGGGTCCAGCAGAATTGAAGTCCAAGCGGATCTGCCGAGACCTCGCGACTCCCCGCGGGGCTGTGGACCGCGCAGCTGGTCGCCATTTTCGTGGGCTCCCTGGGGGGTCCAGCAGAATTGAAGTCCAAGCGGATCTGCCGAGACCTCGCGACTCCCCGCGGGGCTGTGGACCGCGCAGCTGGTCGCCATTTTCGTGGGCTCCCTGGGGGGTCCAGCGGGGTTGCAATATACGCGGGTCTGCCGAGACCTCGCGACTCCCTGCGGGGCCGCGGACCGCACAACGGTCGCCATTTTCGTGGGCTCCTGGGAGGTCCAACGGAATAGAGATCCACGCGGATCTGCCGAGACCTCGCGGCTCCCCGCGGGGCTGCGAACCGCGCAACTGTCGCCATTTTCGTGGGCTCCTGGGAAATCCAACGGAATGGAAGCCCACGTTGATCTGCCGAGACCTCGCGACTCCCCGCGGGGCTGCGAGACGCGCAACTGTCGCCATTTTTCTGAGCCCCTGGGAGCCCAACGTAATGGAAGTCCACGCGGATATGCCGAGACCTCGCGGCTCCCTTCGGGGGCTGCGAAGCGTGCAATTGTCGTCATTTTCGTGGGCTGCTGGGATGTCCAGCTCATGTGCACTGCGGGTCCTTCAACATGTTTGTTTGTAGTGAGCGGTCGCAGAAATATTCGCCAACTGTGTAGAAAAACAACTGGGTACGTCGTCAAGGAACTTGGAATTTTGGATTCCGGTGATGTAGAAACTTAGAGAGAACTGCAGCGTGGATTTCCGCTAAAGGGTGTATCTACAAAAGCATCCAAATGAAATCGCATGGTTCTGGGACCCTCATCTCAAAAATTAAACATCCAATTGAAACCACACGTGTTGGCGCCCTCTGGTTTCGCAAGCCATGTGATGCCATGTGGATTTCTGGGGTTCAGAGCTCTGGAGGGCTGCATCGTGGATTTTCGTTGGAGGCTGTGACATCACAGAACCCCCCAACGTCCAAATGAAAAGACATGGTTGCAAGGATTCTCATCCCAGACACCTCAAATACCCAAACGACATCACATGGTTTGGCGCCCTCTAGTCTCGCAAACGCTTTATGATTTCACAAGGGTCGCTGCTCCCTTGAATTTGTTTCTTCTCTCTCCGCCTCATAGGGAGAGGAAGGGGAGGAGGGGGAGGAGGAGGAGGAGGAGGAGGCGGTTGTTGTGGAGCGACCTAAAGTCAGAGAAACAACTTTAAACAACCTCTCCTTCCGAATCCGATGCCCCCTCATCCTCGGGATCCTGGGGAGGTCGGCGCGCCGGCATAACAGGAAAATGACCATGGAAACCAACAGGGAAAAAAGAACATACCACCGTCAAACGAAAAGACAACTTTTAAAGGGGTTCGGGGGGGGACCGTCTATATCTATTCATTCATATACATACATATACACGTATCTGTATACGTATGTATATATATATATATATATATATATATATGTATATATATATATATATATATGTGTGTGTATGTCTGTATGTATGTATGTAGGTATGAAGAAATGTGGTCCCAAGGGAATTGTCCACGATACGGCGATAAGCCTGGATGACACTGCTTCGTAGAACCGCCCATGCCCGTCGGTGCGCGCACCTAACATAGTTTCGGCGCTGACTACCATGGTTCCCGAAGAAGGTTGGCTGCAGCACGGACTGGCGAATGTCTATGGCCAGGGGGTATGTTGCTCATGCAATCCCTGGAAACGCTCATCTACCACATTCAAGCGATGTTCACGGCATCTGTCCGAGCCGACTGCGCCAGTCTCGACAAATATCCAAACTGGTGCCCCTCGGCTCGGACTGTGCCCATCGTTCAGGTCTGTGAACAAAATCTGGATTTTGTGGAAAAGGTGTCGGCCAGCACCTGGTCGTACCAATTCTTCGGCCGCGGCGAAAATTGAAGAATGCCCACCGTGATGTCGAGGGGTCCACGCTGCAGTAGCACTGCCCTGGTTCGCCCAAAAACTCCTTCGGGGCTGGTCCACAAGCGTCGGATATGCCTCTGTGCTGAAGTCTTGTGTGAGATGACTGCGCGCCCTGTCGATCGATGCGCAGAAAATTCTGCAGGAACTTCAGCTTCAAATCTCATACTCCAACCAGGTAACGAACTAGTGCATGCTCGCATTTTCCGTGGGCCACCTTGGTATCCGCTCAGAGAACAACATTCGTGCTGGGACATGCCAGGATATGTTTCTGCATCCGTGGCCCCGTCGCACCGCGGGGGCCCTATCCCACGAGGCGGGGGGTCATCGTTTAACAGGAGGGACGAGGGGGGGCATGAGGACACGGGGGGGGGGAGGGAGGCGCGAAGGCTCGCTTCGGTTCGGCTCTCCTCGGAAGCAAGGTGCAAGACCTCGGCAGCCGGGGGGGTGCGCAACTAATGAAAAGCACAGCCCAAGGGCGCGAGGGATGGGAGGAGGAGGAGGAGGAGGAGGAGGAGGGAGGAGGAGGAGGAGGAGGAGGAGGAGGAGGAGGAGGAGGAGGAGGAGGAGGAGGGGCGAGGACGGAGGAGGAGGGAGGAGGGCGATGGCCGAGGCAGGGGCGAGCGGGGGGCAGCGGCCGCAACCGGCCGCGGTCCTCCAGCGCGCTGCCCATCCCCCCGCCGCCCCAGCGCCTGCCGTGCGGCGGCGGCGGGTGGTGGAAGCCGAAGCCGGGCCACGCCTGGCGCGGGGCGGCGCCCGCCGTCCGCGCAGACGGGCCGGGGGCTGCCACTCCCGGGCCCAGGGGGGCGAGGAGAAGGCACGGGCCCTGCGCACGATGATAGGCAAGTGTTCTGGACGATGCAGTGAGCGGCCTGAATAAGGAACACTTACTTTTCAGAAGGGGCTCGGTCGCTCCTTAGGTTCGCATGAGTTATGTATCGATCCTTATGCGGTATTTATTATTCATCGTTCCTTATGAGTTACTCCTTGGGAAAAAAGGCTTCGTTCCTTATCTATCGTTCCTTAGGTCAAGCCGATGACTGTATCCTGGTGATCCTGGTTCTCATGCCATGAACATAATCTTTCGAAGGTCCGCGCGGACTTGTCGGATCGGCGCCATGGCGCGCGGAGCGCGCCAGGGGCGGCGCCAGAGGCGCCGCCAGGGGGTCCAGCGCCGATCCGAGGAATCCGCGCGGACCTCCAAACGAATACGTTCACTGTGGAGGCCCGACCACAAGAAGCCTTCCACAAGAAGCCCAACCCTGAGACCGCAGGGCCGTCCCTAGGATTTTTTTGGTGTTGGAACGCCACGCCCAGCGCAAAACCATCGAAGCCCAAGAAACCCAGGGCACCCTGGAGGCCTCTGGAGGCCCCTCCTCCTCCTCCTCCCCCTCCTCATCCTCCGTTTTCCTCCTTCCTCCTCCTCTCTCCTCCTCCTCCCCCTCCTCCTTCCTCCTGATCCTCCTCCTCCTCCCCCTCCTCGTCCTCCTCCTCACTCTCTCATCCTCGTCCTCCTCCCCTCCTCCTCCTCCTCCTCCTCCTCCTCCTCCTCCCCCTCCTCCTCCTCCTCCTCCTCCTCCTCCTCCTCCTCCTCCTCCTGGGCCTCCACTGTGTGGAGACCTTTCGCGCCGGCCTGCGTGGGCCGCCGGCGCAGCACGCCGCATTGGGAGTCGAGGGGGCGCTTAGCGCGCCGTCCTGCGCGGGAGGCCTGCGCGCGAAGGACCGCGCAGCCGACCCGTTTTGCGCGGTCGCTCCGGTCAGGAGGAGGAGGAGGAGGAGGAGGAGGAGCAGGAGGAGGAGGAGGAGGAGGAGGAGGAGGAGGAGGAGGAGGAGGAGGAGGAGAAGGAGGAGGAGGAGGAGGAGGAGGAGTGAGAAGGAGGAGGAGGAGGAAGACGTCGGCGACGACGACGACGCGTAAGGTGACGACAACGACGACGACGACGACGACGACGTAAGGTGACGTGGGAGACCGTGGAGAGGGTGGAGGGGGTTGTGGATGGTGGACAAGATGGAAAGGGTGGAGGGGGAGATGGACTTCCAGGGGCGCAAGAGGAGGAGGAGGAGGAGGAGGAGGCGGAGGAGGACAAGGAGGAGAAGGTGGAGGAGACAAGGTCGGGGATGAAGATGAGGAAAAGGAGTAACACACCGGGGGAGGAAGCGGACGATGATGGTGATGCTTATGATGATGATGCTGATGATGCTGATGATGCTGCTGATGATGTTGATAATGGTAATGCTGATGCTGATGATGATGGTGATGCTGCTGATGATGATGATGCTGATGATAAAGATGATGATGATGATGATGATGATGATGATGATGATGATGATGATGATGATGATGATGATGATGATGATGATGATGATGATGATGAGGAGGCGGACGACTAGTCTAAACCCAAGACGCATCAACGATGTTGCAGTACACCTACCGTGCAAATTCCCTCGTCAGCGGGCCCCGCAATAATATACGTTCATTGCGAGAAATGCCCAGGCGGAAGACAATCGTGTGATACTCCCCAATTGTGCCAGGATCCAATTCCTGGACTTCTACGTCGCGAATCAACGCGGCTACTGCATCGTGGCAGTTCGTGGAACTTTACACCGCGAATCGACGTGACTGTTGCGTCCTGCTGAATCTTGCCAGAATGTAGTTCGTAGGTCTTCGGCCACTCGACTCCTTGAGACAATTCCAATTTTCCAAACACATGTGTGGGGCGCTACAGCGAACACCACATTTTGCATGTGTGTGTTGAAAGCGGCCCGCCCTCCATCCGTGAAGCTATAATACATTGTAAACTTTAGGATCATACATGGTGAGAAATCTCAAGCGACACGCCCTGCCCGCCACACCGACACGTTGGGAGTGTGATAAGGAGTTATTCACGAAGGAAGTTGGATTGATGATGAGGAGGAGGAAGCAGAGCGTCACCAGAGGAGGAGGAGGGCGCCCAGGAGGAGGAGGAGGAGGAGGAGGAGGAGGAGGAGGAGGCGGAGGCGGAGGACCGCATCTACTCGGACCCCATCTGGGAGGCCTGGACTATTCGACCCCCCCGCGAAGCCCGGGGGAGGACGGAGGGCAAACGTGGGGGACAATTCGGGCACCGGCGCCGCTGCTCCACGGACGTCTCTGGTCGGGCGTTGCCAGAAGTGCCCCTGGCCCAGGGTGCTCCCAGGAGGGAGGAGGAGGGAGGAGGGAGGAGGAGAAGGGGGAGAGGAGGAGGAGGGAGGAGGAGGAGGGAGAGGAGGGGGGAGGAGGGAGGAGGAGGAGGGAGGGGAGGGAGGAGGGAGGAGGAGGGAGGCGGGGGATAGGGGGGAGGAGGATGCCCCCACGGCCCCCAGGAGGCCCCTCGCGAGGCTCCGAGGGCCGCATGGGGGTCCAACATGGAGCGAAACGATGGGGGCACCCCTTGAGCCAGGGGGCACCTCTGGCAGCCCCCGATCTGGGGATGCGTTCTCGGATGAGAAATTCGGAGATGAGGGTCGTTAAAGGCTTAACGACTTCTGCCGTCCTTCGACTCGCGCTGGAGCGGCCGCGAAGTGCTCGAACTTTCCCTGGAGATCTCTGGATTTACCTGGATTTACCCAGATTTATCTAGATTTACCTGGATTTACCTCGATTTATCTGCATTTACCTGGGTTTATCTGGCTCGATTCTCACAAGTCGATTGGCGAAAAGTCGACAAGCCCTAAGGGAGAGGGGGCCCAGGGACACACAAATGAATATATACAAATCCAGGATTCCTTAAGTTTTCCTATATTTTCTGGGTTTTCGTCTCCCCCTCCACTTCCCACATTTCCCCATCTGTTCCTGGGAATCGACGATTCATGGTGTCTGTGCGAGTTTCCCTCCTGAAAAGAGAATCTAGCCGTGGCGACGAAGGTTGGAGGCGGCCAAGGTGTCTGAACTGGTTGAGACCCTGGAATATCGATCAGGAGGGGGGGAATGACGCCACATTCGGTCGATATCGGTTCCGGGACCCCTCCAGGGGTCCATCTGGTGTAGTTTTTCAGCCCAGATACATGTTTGACAATCCCGGGGCCCGAAACGGCCCCTAGAGACAGAAAAAAACAGAGGCCCGCAAACAAACGGCCCCTGGAGGCCGAACAAAAACACAAAACACCTTCCCGAACCCAGAACCTCGAATCGGACCGGCCCGCCCTTCCTGCTGGCCCGAGCTTGCGCTGGGCTACCTCAGGCCCCCAGCCGGCTCCAAGACAAGGGCTCTCCATTGGGAGCCCTTGAAAAACATACGCGCCCGCCCACGTACATGACCACTGTCCGCCCATCCGCGAGACCGGCCGCGTGACACGAGCGTTTGCGCAGTGCGTACTCTCGAGGCCAACGTGGATCCGATGTCGTGTTTTTTTTCAATACGGGGTCCCTGGAAGTCTCGACCCCGTCCCCAGGACAAGTTTTTCATCTTGAATCGTTTCTGACGGTCCTGGGGCCCGGCGAGGGCCCCTGGAGGCCGAAAAAACGGCGACAAACCTCCGTCGTGATTTTTCCTCCGTGCGTTCGACCTCTGGGAACGGCGTCGCTCCTGAGCTCCTCTCCTCTCCTCGAGGAGGGCGCGGGGGCACCGGCATCCCGTACGGCGGCGGCATGTAGCCGGGCATCGGCGGGTAGCCTCGAGAGCGGCCAAGAGGGGGGTGTCCAAGAGGGGGGGGTGCAAATCATGACCGGCGGCATGTGCGCGGCCCAGCGGGGGGGCCAGGGACGTAATGAAACAAGAAGAGGCGCCATGGAATCTGGGGAAATATCATGGCCCCCGCCATGATATCCACCCCCCCCTAGTCATCACCCCCCTCTTTTCCGCCCCCGATAGCCGGGCATCGGCGGCGGCGCCGCAGGCACGTACGGGCCCGCGGGGTAGCCCGGCGGCACGCCCGGCGGGCCCGGGAAGGCGGCGGGGTATACCCCCGGGGGCGGCGGCCGGAAGGCGCCGGCCGCGGGCGCGGCCGGGGCGGGGGGCAGGGCCTCGGCGCCGCCCGCGCACCCCAGGGATCGAGTCGGGGATCCACAGCAGGAGGAGGAGGAGGAGGAGGAGGAGGAGGAGGAGGAGGAGGAGGAGGAGGAGGAGGATCGTCTCGTCGAACAGTGGGGTACATCAATGCTGGGGTGGGTCCGCTTCTTCGAGGGGGGGAGGAGTTGGGATCCCTGAGGCCGCGTATCGGAGAAAGCGGGATCGGCAAACTTCAGGGCCTGTTTGCGCGCGAGTCCATCGATCTATCTTGCCGATGCCTGGGGAGAGCCGCTGCGTCGTCGAGCGCCCGCCCTGCAGGACAGCGCGCGGAAAAAGCTGCGGCCCCCGTCAGATCGAGGGGGGCGGCGGCCTGCCGAAACCTTCGAAAATAGCCTCTGAAGCATCGACACTGGGATCCAACGTGACGAAGCAATTGCAGCATCGCGCAAAATCGCGACCAGAGCCCCGTAATCAATTTTTCTCCCGCATTTCTTGAGGCGGATCGACCTGTGAGTGTCCCAGGGCCGAAGCTCGGCGCCCGGTGAGGAACATTGCAACGCCTGGATCTCAGGGTCCTCCTCCCCAAAGATCCGACGTAGCTTTTCTTTCAATACGCTGTCGTCGTCGTCGCCGTCGCCGTCTGGGGGCCACTGGGGGGCTCCGGAGACCTCGTCCCCGCATCCTCCTCCTCCTCCTCCTCCTCCTCCTCCTCCTCCTCGTCCTCGTCGTCCTCCTCCTCCTCCTCGTCCTCCTCGTCCTCCTCGTCCTCCTCCTCCTCGTCCTCCTCGTCCTGCTCCTCCTCCTCCTCCTCATCCTCGTCCTCCTCCTCCTCCTCCTCCTCCTCCTCCTCTCCCGCTTCCTCTTCCTCTTTTGGACCAGCAGAGAACTTGGCGCGCTAACCTTATGGATTGTCGGTTTCCGGAGTTGTGGCCGCTGGTGGGGGCGCAGGGGTAGGCATGCAGGGAGGAGGGCAGCAGAGGGTAGCACACATCCTATCCATTCGGGCTCCAAGCAACTGCCTGTGCAGCTTTAGGGTTGCGCTTCAGGGCACCCCTGCACACTGTACTAGGGTTGCACAGCACATGAACATGTGAAGAGGCACCGGCTTCATCACATTCTTGAGTGATCCTCCTCCTTGGAGGCGGCCACAGGGTCTGAGCTGGATGGGCCCCTACAAAATCGGTCAAGACGGCGGGGAAAAGCAAACTTGTCAAAAACATTGTTTTTGGATTGCTCCTGGGGTCCGTTTGGTGTATTTTTTCACCTCGGATCCGTTTTTGACCGTCCCGGGGGCCGGAAACGGCTCCCGGATAATGACGAATGCAAAACACCTGCTCACACCTAGAACCTCGATCTTCCCCCTCCCGTAACTGGTCGGAATCAATGCTGGGCCACCTCGCACCTACAGACGGCGGCTCCAACCTCCTCCTCTTCTTCCTCCCCTTTTCCCCTCTTCCTCTTCACAGTGAAACCGTATGAATAATACTCCCCCTTCTCCCCTGAAGTTGTGCGAGCGGAAGATATCCTGCCCCTCCGCGTGCTGTTTTCACACACACACACGCGCACCGAATGTCAGGCGTTTTTTGTTCTTATGTGTTGTTTACAATACGATGGTTTCGGTGTTGCAAACTGATGCTCTCGCTGCAACGTGGGCCTCATTTTCGGATCGGCGCTTTGCTCCCGTCGTTCAGAATGACGCTCTCGCCCCCGTGCGGGCCACTTTTGTAGATCCGAATCTTGCTTTAACATGGTCCCCATCCTTATTTCCCCTCCTCCGCCGTTCCCTGGCCCTCTTGTTCCTCCCGCTCCTTCCCCTCCAGTTCCTGCTGCTGCTGCTGCTGCTGCTTCTGCTCGTCTTGCCCCAGCGCGGGCCACTTTTCTGAAGTCGAATATTTCTTCATCCCCCCTCATTATGCCTCCTCCGCCTTCCCCTGGTCCTCCGTTCCTCCTATCCTTCCGCCTTGGTTCCTGCTGCTGCTGTTCGTCCTCATCATTTTCTCCCCGCTCCTCCTGGTTCTCACCCGCCACCTCCTCCTCCTGTGCACGCACCTCCCATTTTCCCATTCCGCACAACACGAAGTGGTCTTTCTGCGGGAGTCGCATAACACGGCTATGACACGCGTCCGCGCCCGCGGCGCGAACGCACCTAGCTTGCCCTCCTCTACGTCTTCCCCCTCCCCTCCCCCTCCTCCTCCCCTCGCCCCCCCTCCTCTCCCCTCCTCCCCTCCCCCTCCCCCCCTTCCCCCTCCCCTCCCCCCCCCCCCTCCCCTCCCCTCCCCTCCCCTCTCCCGCTCCCCCTCCCTCTCCCCTCCCCCCTCCTCCCCCTCCCCCCTCCCCCCCCTCCCCTCCCCCTCCCCCCCCCCCCCTTCTCCCCCCTTTCCCCCCCCCCCCCCCCCCTCTCCCCCCCTTCCCCCCTCCTGAAGCCCGCTGAGGCCGCGACTGGGGCGGGCGCCGGCTGCGCGGCGGGCATCCCGTGCAGGCCAGGCGGGGCGTGCTGGCCTCCCGCTCTCCGCCGCCGCTCCCCTCCCAGGGAGCCCCCCCCGAGGGGCACCCCAAAGGGCTTCGAAAGCGCTGCAACGAGGCCTCGTCGTCGTCGTCGTCGTCGTCGCCCTCCTCCTCCTCCTCCTCCTCCTCCTCCTCTTCCTCCTCCTCCTCTTTCGCCTCCTCCTCCTCCTTCGCCTCGTCGTCGTCGTCGTCGTCGTCGTCGTCGTCGTCGTCGTCGTCGTCGTCGTCGTCGTCCTGGTGCTGGACGTTTTCGGCCCTCCTCCTCCTCCTCCTGTCCCTGATCCTTAGTAGAAGCCCTTCCGTGTCGCACCCGGAGGCGTGTCAGCAGGGCGGGTCGGGCGTTTCGCGTGGGACTCCCTCACCACTCATGTCTTGAAGCTAAGAACTTGCAGCACTTTCAAACATGGAGGGCGGGTTGTTTTTAAAACGTGTCTCTCGCATCAATGTCGCGCGCATTCGACTTTAAAGCTTACAAGCGTTTTGCGGATGGAGGGCGGCCTGTATTCAAAATGTGGCTCTCGCCTAAGCGTCGCGCACATTCCTCTCAAAACTCTGCTGGAGTTTTGCGTGGAAAAAAAAACTGGCCCCACGTCGAACCGCATCGCCGATGCATCGGCAATGCGGCGTGATCCTCCGACCCCATGTGGGAAGCCTAGACTCCCCCTCCTCCTCCTCCTCCTCCTCCTCCTCTTCCTCCTTCTCCTTCATACCCGCCAGCCGGAAGATGTTGGTACACACATACACACACATAAGGTAGGACAGCGGGTAAAGCAGGTTGGGTTCGGGCCCGCCTCAAGAATAGCAACACACAGCAACAGCACATCAGTCGTTGAACCAGGAGGGGCGCTTGAAGTATATTGGAATCAAAATATCTAGAATTAGGTCGGGCCTGTCTCCCTACAGGGGATTTTGGGCTTAAAAATAAAAGATACATCAAAAATGCCCCCCGCATGGTCAACAATAGTATAACATCGTCCCCAGACTATTTTTTGAATATTTTGGAATATTCGTCCTGTAAAGGGACAGGCCCGACTTAAATCTAGAAGTGCTTACCTTCAACGACCGGCGTGTGCCTGAGATCTGGGCGTTGCAGCTTTCTTGCTGTGGTTGCTGGCGATAAGCCGCCTCTGCCTGGACGCCCACGACCAGCACAGAAGGCTCGCAGCCACTCCCGGGGCGGAAGCTACTGTGAGCAGCCCCGGCAGGGTAGCTCGCAGACGAGGAGGAGACTGCGGCCACCGCTTTTGCGGGCCTCGTCAGTGCGCAGGGCCCCAAACCCTCGCGTTGTGAACAAATCACGACGGGAGTTTCTTCGCTGTTTTCGGCCTCCGGGGGCCCGAACCTGGCCTGGGGACTGTCAAAAAACAACACATGCAGGTTGAAAAACCGTTCCCGGGGAAGGGGTCCAGACCTTTGGGGGTCGACGTTTTGAACAACTCACGTAGGGGGTCTGGGGGGGGGAGAAAAGTCCAGATCACAACTGGTCCGGTGAGATCACAACCGGACGGTTCAGATCCCAACCGTTAAGGACACGTGGGACGGGTGATATCACAACCACTTTGGAGCCTCTGAGAGGTTCTGTGAGAGGTTCTGAGAGCCTTTGAGAGGTTCTGTGAGAGGTTCTGGGAGCCTGTGAGAAGTTCTGTGAGAGGTTCCGAAAGCCTCTGAGAGGTTCTGTGAGAGGTTCAGAGAGCTTCTGAAAGGTCTGAGAGCCTCTGAAAGATTCTGAAAGCTTCTGAAAGGTTCAGAGAGCTTCTGAAAGGTTCTGAGAGCTTCTGAAAGGTTCTGAGAGCTTCTGTAAGGTTCTGAGAGCTTCTGAAAGGTTCTGAAAGATTCTGAGAGGTCCTGAGAGATTCTGAGAGGTTCTGAGAGCTTTTGAAAGGTTCTTAGATCTTCTGAGATGTCCTGAAAGATTCTGAGATGTTCTGAAAGATTCTGAAAGGTTCTGAGGGGCTCTAAAATGTTCTGAGAGGTTCTGAGAGGTTCTGAGAGTTTCTGAAAGGTTCTAAGAGTTTCAGTGAGAGGTTCTGAGAGGTTCTGTGAGAGGTTCTGGGAGTTCTCGAGAGGTTATGTGAAAGGTTCTGTGAGGTTCTGAGGTTCTGAGAGAGGTTTTGAAAGAGGTTCTGAGAAGTTCTGAGGGGTTCTGAGATAGATTCTGA